GCATCTCCAAATGTGTATTTGTTAACGTTTTGTGTTAGTTTTAGATAGTTCTCTGACTAAACAGATTATTAATTGTTTTACATGACATGTCATTTGTAAATATACTACTGTCTTAAATATACTATTGTGCTAACCCTCTGACAAATTCTCCTTTTACAGATGGCCCAAAGAACCCCTCAATGTCAGTCAGTCCCTCTGGTGAAATAGTGGAGGGCAGTTCAGTGACTCTGACCTGCAGCAGTGATGCCAACCCACCTGTGGACAAATACACCTGGTACAAGAAGAATGGAGCTTCACTGACAGGATCTGAAAATACATACAATTTCACAACCATCAGCTCTGAGGACAGTGGAGAATACTACTGTGAGGCTGAGAATAAATATGGACGTCTCAACTCTTCTTCTGTGTCTGTGGACGTTCAGTGTATGTACACCTAACCTCATCTTTTGATCAGAGGATCACATTTAAATTAATATTTCAACCACAAGTCCAAGTTTCATGATGCTCCTCATGTAAAACACTATTTAAAACACTGTTGTTACATATTGTTCACCAGATGGCCCAAAAAACACCTCAGTGTCAGTCAGTCCCTCTGGTGAAATAGTGGAGGGCAGTTCAGTGACTCTGACCTGCAGCAGTGATGCCAACCCACCTGTGGACAAATACACCTGGTACTTTCAAAAGAATACTTTTCTAAATGGATTTGGACAGATCTACAACATAAGTAACTTCAAGTCTAAGGACAATGGACATTACCACTGTGAGGCCTGGAATGGAAGAGGGTCTAGGAACTCTACAGTTCTGATGATAACTTTACCAGGTGAATTTTCACCTTCAATATTTCAGTACAAAATTACATTTCAAGCTAATATTAATAATTATACTTTGGCTTATCATACTTTGTTTTATAATTATATATACGTTGAGATGAGATCACTTAAGAAATATTGTATTATTGTCCTGTACTACGATTATTTTCAGTTTATAACATGCAGTACTCGTATCATCCATATTTTAATTTAGGGAAACAAACATCAGTTATGACCGCAGCTGTAGGAATCATAGTTGTTGTTCTGGTTCTCATCCTCTGTCTCTCTGGCTTCATGTGGTTCAGGTGAGTGATCTTTTAAAGATTATTTCACTCTAACACTTTTTTATGGACTCTTTATTAATTGATTAATTCATTCATTCAATAATAAATTAATTCATTAATGTGCAAACCAGGAAGAAGGCCTCCAAATCCACCTCTGACACAAGAGACACATCAGAGAATGTACAGGTGAGTCTGTTAGAAACAGATTATTTGTATTGCTTTGTGGAACATTTCTACTCCTCATGTTGTCTGTCCTCTCACCCCATCAGGGAGACTCTAGTCCAGTATATGACAACATCTCAGGCATGATCATGACCCCTACTGCAGTACAGACAGCAGCCACCGTAGACCAGGATGACGTTCATTACGCCAGCGTCCACTTCTCTCGCTTCAAAAACCAGGAAGTGCCTCTGTCCTCCACCGTCCAACTGCCTCAACCCCAGAAACAGGACGAGGATGTCCAGTACGCTGCTGTGAAATTCAACCGCCCCAGTGCTGCCACACCGTGAGCAAATTCTGCCATTAAAATAACATGGAGCCAATACTAGAACATTGTGAATACACCACATTAAAGGAGAAGTTTACTTTTTTACAACCAAATTTCTATTTCTGATGTAAATGGTGTGTTATAGATTTCACTTGTTTTTGAGAAACTTACCTCATCCTCGTTGTGCAGTACAGAGGCTCTGAAAAAACATGAACAAATGCTCTAAAAACACTCAAATACATCCTTTTAGAAACTGAAATGCTCTCAGTATAGCGATGCAGGTCTTTAGATGTTGCAGTTGTACACATGAAATTGTGTCATTCCAAACTTTATCCGCAACATTATATTCCATTTTGTGTGACTGACGCTGTTTCCCCTGTCCAACTGTTGTATTCTCCGTGTAGCCTGCTGCTAGAATGGACCAGAGGCATCGTTCGAGTCGCAACAACATGGAACATAACGTTACGGATAATGTTCTGAATGACACAATTTCATATGTACAAAATTTAAAGACGTGCATCACTACAGACTACTTAGAGCTTTCTCGTTTCTAAAAGGATGTTTTGGGTGTTTTTGGAGCCCACTTACTGCACACGAGGATGAGGAAGTGAATCGCTGGTTGGGGATAGTTTCACAAAAACAAGAGAAATGAAGAAAAAAAAATCTGGACCCCTATAACATACTAATTACATACATATATATATATTTTTTTTTTTTTTGGGGTTGTAAACAACCTATATTCTCCTTTCAGCTCATTCCTATGCTGCTGCTTATTGGACGAGAGGACCATGATGTCATTAATAAGCATAAAAGTTGTCCCCTAGTGGCCACTAGTGATGGCATTTCCTTAAACTACGAACCCAACAATGGACATCTCAAGACAATTACTATGTCTATAATGAGAGAGTGGTGGTTTTGAGGATCTGTTCTATCTATGTTCCAAATGGAACCTTATTCCCTATTTAGTGCACTACTTTTGACTAGAGACATAAAGGCCTTGGTCAAAGTAATGCACTATAAAGAGGATAAGATGGGGGTTTTTGGGACACAGATTCTGTTTCATTTCTGTTTCTCTCTCCTCAGACCCAAGGCAGCACAAGCAGCTGAGGAGTACTCCTCTGTGATCTACAGTAGAGTCAACTACCCAGAACCAAGAAGACCTGAAAACAAGTCTGACAAAACCCCTGTATATCTGGACCTGTATAGTCCAACTAAGTGATATAATAATATATAATAATATATGCCATTTAGAAACACATTCATCCAAAGCAACTTATTATGCGTGGAGACATGTTTCATGCCGGTAGCCCCATTGGGAATTGAACCCATGGGCCATGCTCTACCAACTGAGCCACACAGGACTGCTGTATTCAAACTTAGTTGGAGTGCTGATCTAGGATCAGTTGTGCCTTTTAAACAATGATGATTAAGAGGGGGAACTTTGTAAATAATTTTTATGTGAAATATTTTTCAATTCAATTTTTTAAGTATCATAGAACAAAGATATAAATTACAGCAGACCCAGAATCTGAACACAAAAACTTTGACAATACCTTTGCTTTGTATTTCCGAAGTAGCCTCGATGTCCAGTTAGATTTTATATGAAGGCTAAGAACATAATTGTTTTAACATTTCTTCTTGATGTTTGCTCTCAGGAACAATACATTTATTCTATTCTATCCTATTACGTTATACAGTACTGTAAAATAATACATGATCTACGTTTACTTGATATTTTCATATACATTTGCTATTGGTTTTATGACAAAGTTATAAGTGTCCTGATGCAACAACTTGATGCAACATTTCTTATTGCGTTTAGAAAAATACAAAATATTGGAAACTATAAAGTGTGGATTGTGTTTAATCAACTTTTAAGATTAAACTTAATTGTCATTGTTTTTATCTTGTTATAACAGTATCTTCAGTGGAGAGAAAATGGAAAGCTTTCAAAATCACACCTCTTGTACTGTACAGTACATACAGTAACTACTAATAATACATTTCCATTGGTTTGTAGAGCAATAGTGGTTTATTCACCTTCATCATCATCATCATCATGTCTGTACAAAATATACACAGACACTTTCAGAAGGAGCAATGTCCAGCACCTAGACACACAACCAGTTACATGAAATAGTATTTATTGTCATTTTTAAAACACACATCATGCAGACACTATAGATGCTGTAAAGAGGTCAATGGAACACAGACCGTGGGGGATAGAAGGAAACCGGATTGGCGCACATTCAACAAATCTGTTCTAAAAAAGGGGATATTCATCAAATCCGTCATGATTGATGTATTGTAACAGCCCCACAATGTGGTTACTAAAGTCTGATTTGAATATATTTGGCTGATTTTCATGCATAACATTTAGAAGTTGTCCCTTTTCAGGTTTAGAAGAGGTGTCTGCTAAATGCTAACTCCCGTTCATATAAGCTGGTAGCATAGCTAGCATATAGAAATCGGTGGTGGCAGTCAAAGTAATTTCTAACTGTAATGTAGTTGATTGGTGGAGATGACCTGAACATTGAGGTTGACATCACCGGAGGCTGCTGAGGGGAGAACGGCTCATAATAATGGCTGGAACGGAGCAAATGGAATAGCATCAAACACAAGGAAACCATGTGTTTGATGTATTTGATACCATTCCAACTATTCTGCTTCAGCCATTAAAATGAGCCCGTCCTCCCCAATTAAGGTGCCACCAACCTCCTGTGGTTGACATCCATACAAGTGTTATACTCTGATTTTTACCACAACATAGTACACATATACTGTAAATAATAGCCTAAATGTAGGATAATTTTGATGGGGGCAATGAGGAGATTCGGGATCTTTCCTCCATGGCATCTTTCCCCCAAGCGTTTCCATGGCAATTCAAATGTTTTGGTCGAGTTCCATTGACCTCTTTACCGCATCTATAGGACACAATATGGATGTTTGGAGGGTTGAGGGTAGTTCCGTCAGCCAGGGGATTCCATTCCGGAACACAGAAAGATGGAACATTCCAGAATGTTCGATGATTGATAATAATACATCTCACAGTTAACAAGTTCAGACCAAACAGTGAGATTATTGCTTGATTTAAAGCCTTTTCTCCTTAGAAGAATAACAGTCCACCATTTTGTCCAACTAGTAGTTAGAGAATAAATTACATTATTGTATAGTGAGAATGTGATGTCATATAGAAAGAGTGCTATGGTCTCCAAATTGGCGTGGCTCTTGACCCCCTAACTGTTTTCCGACCTTCCCAGGTAGGGGTGTCTCTTTTGGGGGGCAGAGATGGGCTAGGGGTGAATGAGAGAGTGGAGACCCATGGAGGTGTACCTATTGCCCACCTAACTGTTGTCTGATCTTTCCATGTAGGGGTGTTTCTTTTTTTGGGGGGGGGGGGGGGGGGGGGGGGGGGGTGCAGGGAGGGACTAGGGCCTAGGGATGGATGGAAGAGTGGAGATCCATGAAGGGGTACCTTTCACCCCCATGACAGCCCCAATGAGTCTGTGTTTGGGGATAGAGGGGAGCTAGGGGTGGAGGCTTTCGGGCTAAATATGGGCACTGTGTCCTTTAGGCCACACCCACAGGAAATGTCACTAAATGACGTTGTCAAACAGATGCATGGACTGCATGATGTTCTCATCCTGGACGGGAGGCAGGAAGGGACAAAAAGCACAACGGGTTAGAAGCAGTTGGAGAAAAGGTTTAAACAGTTTAAAAGCAGAAAGAGGTTCTTAAATAAACAAAGAGTTTCATTCCAAAATGCTGTATATCCATTTTAGAAATGTTTTTAAATTACCTTTTTTGTTTCAATAACTTATGAATGAGATTGGTGTGATTTTCTAAATCTAATCATGGCATGGGGTTGTTCAATGACAGACATGTATTTGTTTGGAATCTATCACTAGATTCTTTCATTTCAGAGAGACAAAACGAGATATATCCGCCTCACTCTCAGAGAAAAAAGTAGCAATGCAAGGTTTTACACAGTTAAATGTGACAAATAATTACACACACATGAAGGTACCAATAAGCAATAATATCTGATGAAAAAACACTAATGTAAATGATTTGTGGATATAGGGTTTTGGAAATTAACTTCACATTGTGACATTTTAGATATTATTAAATCATGTAATATATAATCATATCCTATAGAATCCCGCGGAAATATCCCACACGCACACACACACAACCACTCACTCACACAGACACACAAACACAGACACACAGACAAACACACCTTTTGACAAGACTCCAGAAATTCCTCAATGGTGACCACGCCATCTTTGTTCTTGTCCATTTTCTGACAGAGAGAAACAGAGAAACAGTTGAATACGCAACCCTTTCTCCTCACCGAGGGTGTCTCAGGGGGAGTGAGATATGCAAAGAATACATTTCCATTTCACACCACACACTGTAAAGGTTACACATCTACATCTGAAACAGGACAAATATAAGCAACCCCTATCTGACCTTTTGGTTCTGGTTGTTTACAAGGTCTGAGTGCACCAATAAGGAGGTTATGTCTACAGGGTCCTTTTAAAACCCTTTGTGGAAAACAATGGAGGTAGACTTATCTAACCCTAGGGCCTGGATTCAATCAGAAACTGTGCTAAAGGATTTAAAGGTAATTTCCAATTGAGCCGACATCTGCAGCGCTGAATGCGATCTCCACTAGTGTAGTAACATTGCCTTTAAAAGCTGTATTGTCTACAAGCGCATTAGGATTGAATCAAGGCCTAGATCTGTGGAAGACCTGGAAGTAGTTGTTAATCTGATCCTAGATCTGTGGTTAGTTGTTACCTGAAAGAAATTGTTAATCTGATCCTAGATCTGTGGTTAGTTGTTACCTGGAAGAAGTTGTTAATCTGATCCTAGATCTGTGGTTAGTTGTTACCTGGAAGTAGTTGTTAATCTGATCCTAGATCTGTGGTTTGTTGTTACCTGGAAGAAGTTGTTAATCTGATCCTAGATCTGTGGTTAGTTGTTACCTGAAAGAAATTGTTAATCTGATCCTAGATCTGTGGTTAGTTGTTACCTGGAAGAAGTTGTTAATCTGATCCTAGATCTGTGGTTAGTTGTTACCTGGAAGAAGTTGTTAATCTGATCCTAGATATGTGGTTAGTTGTTACCTGGAAGAAGTTGTTAATCTGATCCTAGATCTGTGGTTAGTTGTTACCTGGAAGAAGTTGTCAACGTGCTCCTTGGGGGCGTCGTTCTGCATACAGGGGTACGTACACGTCCCCATCATATCATAGATGGAGCTCATGATATCAGTCATCTCCTGGAACGCACACACACACAGACACAGACACACACAGACACAGACACAGACACACACACACACACACACACACACACACACACACACACACAGACACAGACACAGACACAGACACAGACACAGACACAGACACAGACACAGACACAGACACAGACACACACACACACACACACACACACACACCCACACAGACACATATGAACATGCACGCACAAACATGCACACACACGCACACGCACGTGTTCATGCACACACACACAGAGGGGAGGATGGGGGAATAGTTTAGAAGAGAGAAAAAACATGTTTGCACACACACACATACACATCGTACCGTACCTCTTTGGTGATGAAGCCATCTTTGTTGAGGTCGTAGAGGTTAAAAGCCCAGTTGAGTTTCTCTGTGACAGAGCCTCTCAGGATGATTGACAGGCCTGTGACGAAGTCTTCGAAGCTCACAGAACCATTCTTGTGGGTGTCAAATGCTTCGAACAGAAAATGAGCGTAGGTGCTGGAGTCTGAAACAGAGGGAGGAAGTGAGAGAGGGGGTTACTGAGAGACTGAAAGGCTGAGAGAGAGAGAGAGAGAGAGAGAGAGAGAGAGAGAGAGAGAGAGAGAGAGAGAGAGAGAGAGAGAGAGAGAGAGAAGGGGGAGGGGGAAACAGAGAGGGAAAGGCAGATATAGAGAAAGAATAAGAGAGAGCGAAAGAGAGCGAAAGAGAGAGAGAGAGAGAGAGAGACACATACACAGTATTGCAGGCACGGGTGCAGCACACACACACACACACACATACACACACACACACACACACACACACACACACTCACCTCCCTGAGGAAAGAACTGGGAGTAGATGAACTTGAATGTCTCTTCATCCACCAACCCACTAGGACATTCCTATTGGACAATCAACAGAAAGTTACAAACACACACAGACAGAGAGAAGAGAGAGAGAGAGAGAGAGAGGAGAGAGAGAGAGATAGAGAGAGAGAGAGAGAGGAGAAGGAGAGAGAGGAGGAGAGAGAGAGAGAGAGGGGGGGGGGTAGGGGGCGGGGGGTTATGGTAGTAAGAAAGAGAGAGAGAGAGAGAGAGAGAGAGAGACAGAGAGAGAGAGAGAAAGAGAGACTGTGAGAAATACTCCCAAATAAGATGATATTTTTTCAAGAAAGTATCTCAATCAATTCCCAACTTCTGTGCATTTACTAATAACATAAAGCTGGGAATTATTCTGGTTGAGGGAGAAACAGCAAATATTCCTGCCAGATATATACACTACCAGTCAAAAGTTTGGACACACCTTCTCATTCAAGGCATTTTCTTTATTTTTACTATTTTCTACATTGTAGAATAATAGTGAAGACATCAGAAATGTAGAATAACACATATGGAATCATGTAGTAACCAAAAAAGTGTTAAACAAATCAAAATATATTTGAGTTTCTTCAAAGTAGCCACCCTTTGCCTTGATGACAGCTTTGCACACTCTTGGCATTCTCTCAACCAGCTTCACCTGGAATGCTTTTCCAACAGTCTTGAAGGAGTTCCCACATATGCTGAGCACTTGTTGGCTGCTTTTCCTTCACTCTGCGGTCCAACACATCCCAAACCATCTCAATCGGGTTGAGGTCAGGTGATTGTGGAGGCCAGGTCATCTGATGCAGCACTCCATCACTCTCCTTCTTGGTCAAATAGCCCTTACACAGCCTGGAGGTGTGTTTTGGGTCATTGTCCTGTTGAAAAACAAATGATAGTCCCACTAAGTGCAAACCAGATGGGATGGCGTATCGCTGCAGAATGCTGTGGTAGCCATGCTGGTTATGTGTGCCTTGAATTCTAAATAAATTACAGACAGTGTCACCAGCAAAGCACCCCCACACCATCACACCTCCTCCTCGATGCTTCACGGTGGGAACTACAAATGCGGAGATCATCCGTTCACCTACTCTGCGTCTCACAAAGACACGGCGGTTGGAAACAAAAATCTCACATTTGGACTCATCAGACCAAAGGACAGATTTCCACCGGTCTAATGTCCATTGCTCGTGTTTCTTGGCCCAAGTCTCTTCTTCTTATTGGTGTCCTTTAGTAGTGGTTTCTTTGCAGCAATTCGACCATGAAGGCCTGATTCACACAGTCTCCTCTGAAAAGTTCATGTTGAGATGTGTCTGTTACTTGAACTCTGTGAAGCATTTATTTGGGCTGCAATTTCTGAGGCTGGTAACTCTATTGAACTTATCCTCTGCAGCAGAGGTAACTCTGGGTCTTCCTGTGGCGGTCCTCATGAGAGCCAGTTCATCATAGCGCTTGATGGTTTTTGCGACTGCACTTGAAGAAACTTTCAAAGTTCTTGACGTTTTCCGTATTGACTGACCTTCATGTCTTAAAGTAATAATGGACTGTTGTTTCTCTTCGCTTATTTGAGCTGTTCTTGCCATAATATGGACTTGGTCTTTTACCAAATAGGGCTATCTTCTGTATACCCCCCCCTACCTTGTCACAACACAACTGATTGTCTCAAACACATTAAGAAGGAAAGAAATTCCACAAATTAACTTTTAAGAAGGCACACCTGTTAATTGAAATACATTCCAGGTGTCTACCTCATGAAGCTGGTTGAGAGAATGCCAAGACGGTGCAAAGCTGTCATCAAGGCAAAGGGTGGCTACTTCGAAGAATCTCAAATATAAAATATATTTTGATTTGTTTAACACTTTTTTGGTTACTAAATATTCCATATGTGTAATTTCATAGTTTTGATGTCTTGATAGTTTTAAAAAATAAAGACAAACCCTTGAATGAGTAGGTGTGTCCAAACTTTGGACTGGTACTGTATATGATTGCCATAGCCTGAGGGACATCCCATGACCATTAATTCCTTGAAGCATTTAAATTGTATATAACTGACAAGTAAGACATAGTGTAACCATCATCCATTGCATTGTACTATATTTACTGAAATGCTGTACCACTATACTGCTTTGGCAGTATCTACAAATTGTTTTTCATGCCAATAAAGGAATCTGGAATTGAATTGGAGAGAGAGAGAGAGAGAGAGAGAGAGAGAGAGAGAGAGAGAGAGAGAGAGAGAGAGAGAGAGAGAGAGAGAGAGAGAGAGAGAGAGAGAGAGAGAGAGAGTCTAAAACTTAGACAGAGGGAGAAAGAGAATTTGTGAGAGAGAGACAGACAGACAGACAGACAGACAGACAGACAGACAGACAGACAGACAGACAGACAGACAGACAGACAGACAGACAGACAGACAGACAGACAGACAGAGACAGTGAGTCCTCAGGGAGAGACGTACATTCTTGAAGCCCCTGTAGAGGATCTGTAGTTCTCTCCTGGTGAACTTAGTCTGTTGTAGTAGCTGGTCCAACCCCTCTGGTCTATAACACACTGTAGATAACTCCCCATCCTCCACTACACTGTCTGTAGGAGGGAGGGAGGGAGGGAGGGAGGGAGGGGAGGGAGGGAGGGAGGAGGAGGGAGGGAGGGGAGGGAGGGAGGGGGGGCATGGTTATTATGCTTAGTAACTACTTATTTTTGTGAGAGAGAGAGGAAGAGAAAAGAAGAAGTGAAAGAGATAAAGATAGAAGGAGAGACAGTGATACTCAGTTCTCTGTTACCAGTAGACAGCGATACTCAGTTGTCTGTTACCAGTAGACGTGTACTCAGTCTCTTCCGTAGACAATACTCAGTTCTGTAACCAGACCAGTGACAGGCCGCCGTTACAGCGTATACTCATGTAGTATACTGTTTGTTACCAGTAGACAGCGATATTCTCAGTTATCTGTTACCAGTAGACAGTGATACTCAGGTTACCTGTGTACCAGTAGACAGTGATACTCAGTCTGTACATAGACAGTGAAGACGCGGACAGTGATCTCAGTTATCTGTTACCAGTAGACAGTGATACTCAGATTTACTCAGTCCTCTGTTTACCAGTAGACAGTGATACTCAGTTCTCTGTTACCAGTAGACAGCGATACTCAGTTCTCTGTTACCAGTAGACAGTGATACTCAGTCCTCTGTTACCAGTAGACAGTGATACTCAGTTCTCTGTTACCAGTAGACAGTGATACTCAGTCCTCTGTTACCAGTAGACAGCGATACTCAGTTCTCTGTTACCAGTAGACAGTGATACTCAGTCCTCTGTTACCAGTAGACAGTGATACCAGTCCTCTGTTACCAGTAGACAGCGATACTCAGTTCTCTGTTACCAGTAGACAGTGATACTCAGTCCTCTGTTACCAGTAGACAGTGATACTCAGTCCTCTGTTACCAGTAGACGGTGATACTCAGTCCTCTGTTACCAGTAGACAGTTATACTAAGTTCCCTGTCCCAAAAGGACTGGTTACATTTTGAATGCTTAGCAGGACAGGAACATTTTCACATTCACGCACTTATCAAGAGAACATCCCTGGTCATCCCTACTGCCTCTGATCTGACGGACTCACTAAACACACATGCTTCATTTGTAAATTATGTCTGAGTGTTGGCTTGTGCCCCTGGCTATCGGTAAATAAATAAAATAAGAACATTGTGCCATCTGGTGTGCTTAATATAAGGAATTTGAAATGACTAATACTTGTACTTTTATTTTTGATGCTTAAGTATACTTTAGCAATTACATTTACTTTTGATACTTAAGTATATTTAAAACCAAATACTTTTAGACTTTTACTCAAGTAGTATTTTACTGGGTGACTTTCACTTTACTTGAGTCATTTTCTATTAAGGTATCTTTACTTTTACTCAAGTATGACAATTGGTTACTTTTCCCACCACTGCAGCTAGCTAGCACTACAGTTCGAGTAGTTGACTTTGTAACTCTTATTTTTTATCAAGGAGAAGCGGCAGAGAGCGAGAGAGAGATAGCTATATTTTTTATATATTTTTTATTCTCCTTGGTTTACCTTTCACTTACTTAGCTAGCTAATGCAGCTAATTTAGCAACAATCTGACTCAAAAAGAGAGGAATGCTATTTATGTTAGCTAGCTGGCTAAAGCTATCCAACACGGCAACTCTTCTCTGTAGCGGTTAGCGGTTAACTGTTTCCATCACTGCCTATTCCACTTGTTTAGCAAGGGCTCGGTGGGGGCAGCGGAACGGAGGAAGGGGTGGAGTTATGCAAATGAGCACTTGCTTTGACTGAGTGAGGGGGCGGTTCTGGAGCGACAGCAGGGCAGCAGCTTGAGGAACCTCTGTTTTATAGTTCGTTTGCTGTGGTTGGACGCTGGGTTACCTGGAAGTAACCAATCACAGCACAGATTAGAGCAGGGCGGCACGACCCCATAGAATGGACGCAAATCGCACACACACGTTAAAGTAATAATTATTCCATCTAGATAGTTAGTTTGCTGATCTGGCTTTAGGTTATAGTCTCTTAGACAGAGAGAGAGGTTATAGAGACACTGTATATATACATAATATGACATTTGAAATGTCTTTATTCTTTTGAAACTTCTGAGTGTAATGTTTACTGTTAATATTTATTGTTGATTTCACTTTTGTTTACTATCTACTTCACTTGCTTTGGCAATGTTAACACACGTTTCCCATGCCAATAAAGTCCTTAAATTGAAATTGAATTGAGAGAGAGAGAAGAACATTGTGCCGTCTGGTGTGCTTAATATAAGATACAGAGAGAGAGAGAGAGAGCGAGAGAGAGAGTTGCCGAGTTACAGTGTTTTAGCAGTTAGTGGTCTCTAGTGTTTAAAGTGGCAAAGTACCAGTTAGGATACACATACGTAGTGACATAAACTTGCATTGACCCTCTATGGCTCTTTCTCTCTCTCACACTTTCTCTCAATCTCTCTATCTCTGAGCGCAGTATGATACCCTCTCCTGCGCTCTCCTATCTCTCTCGCTCTCTCTCTGCTCTCTTCTCGCTCATCAATTCAATTCAATTCATCGCTTTATTGGCATGACGTAACAATGTACATATGCCAAAGCTTACTTTGCGAATTACAATATAAAAAAATAAATAAAAATGAGAATCAAAAATTGTCACGGGACAACAGTAACAACAATAACCAACGGTCAATATAACCATACATTCAACAATAACTAATCTACAGTAGGAAGGCAGTTATGTTTATTTATCATATGATCTCTCCGCTTCTCATGCTCCTATCTCGTATCCGCTCTCTCGCACTGCTTCTGATCTCTCTCGTCTACTCTCTCTACTCTCCTTCTCTGACGACTGCTCTATCTGCTGCGCTCTGAGCGCCGCTCTCGCCGCTCCTCGGGGGGCGTCTTGCTATCACCCCTTAGAGGTTCTAGGGGACGGAGAGTGGGAGAGGAGAGAGAGAGAGAGAGTTCTTCTCTCTCTCTCTCTCTCTTCTCTCTCTCTCTCTCTCTCTCTCTCTCTCTCGCTCTCTCTCTTCTCTCTCTCTCTTCTCTCTCTCTCTCTCTCTCTCTCTCTCTCCCTCTCTTGCAATCTCCATAGACAAACATTGGCAGTAGAATGGCCTTACTGAAGAGCTCAGTGACTTTCAACGTGGCATCAGAAAGGCCAGGCCACCAGTAACCAGCCATGGTTGTCAGGTTCCATCTACAGAGCGGAGGGTTCCGAAAAGAACAGCCGTCTTCATGGTAACCTGACAGAGGTGTAAACACAGGAGGGTACTTTCCTGTCTGCATCCTTTCTCATGGTTCAGTAGCTGTGTGTGTGTGTGTGTGTGTATCAGTTTGTCACATGGCACTTTAGGTACCCGTGTTTTAACTGTGTTTGTGTGTGTGTGTGTGTGTGTGTGGTGTGTGTGTGTGTGTTTTCACAGTTCCATCTGACACAAATAGTAAGACTATCAAAAAAGCAGGGAGCATGTTATGTTGCTATTGTTTCTGTAGTTGTTGAAGGAGCCTTACTGAAAGATACATTCTTATTGGATAATGTAAATAAAAATATTCATTCCACTGTATCTTGTAGATTTCTATTCTTTATTCTTTGTGACATCATCATTCTCTATCTTCACACAGAGGATGTTTTGGTGTTGTTGCTTTTTACCATTAATCGCTTTCAAACGGAATATTGAAGCTTAAGTTACATTTGATCATGCTGAATTCAGTCATCTGACAGAATCTCCGAGTGGTGTCTTGGCATGAGAACCAGGATTTGTCCCAAATGGCACCCTATTCCCTATATAGTGTACTACTTTTGACCAGGTAGTGTACCATATAGGGAGTAGGGTGCCATTTGGGATGCAGATATAGTGAGATATCATGACAAGCTCTTCATAAACCCAGTCCAATGCTATGATGCTTCACTCATAAGGGATTCATCAATACCATTTATCAATAATCAATCACTCAAATGTAGTTAGAAAAGTTCAATCAGTGAGGCCTGTCTGAATGGATTGTCATTTCATTCATTTAGTAAACTCTATAATTCACATCGCTTCCTATCTCACTCATCAGCATTGCAGGTACACTACATGACCAAAAGTATGTGGACGCCTGCTGGTCGAACATCTCATTCCAAAATCATGGGCATTAATATGGAGTTGGTCCCCCCTTGTTATAACAACCTCCACTCTTCTGGGAAGGCAGTTTAGAACTCGGTAGTGAGTGTTGCAACCGAGGACAGAGGATTTTTATGCACTACGAGCACACTCCTAGATGTTTACACTTCCCAATAACAGCACTTACAGATCACCGGGGCAGCTCTAGCAGGGCAGAAATGTGACAAACTGACTGGAAAGGTGGCATCCTATGACGATGCGACGTTGAAAGTCACTGAGCTCTTCAGTAAGGCCATTCTACTGCCAATGTCTGTCTATGGAGATTGCATGGCTGTGTGCTCGATTGTATACACCTGTCAGCAACGGGTGTGGCTGAAATAGCAGAATCCACTCATTTGAAGGGGTGTCCACATACTTTAGTATATATAGTGTATGTAATAGGGTAGTGTTTTTAATGATACCTCATCAGCATAGCAGGTATTTATAAATGAGTGTCCATGTTACTGTATCAGCATAGCAGGTACTGATATGGGAGTGTCCATGTTACCTCATCAGCAAAGCAGGTATTTATATGGTAGTGTTAATAATGGTACCTCATCAGGACACCGTCACGTCTCCTCCTCTTTACCATTAACAAGCGGGCGGGAATGTCATTCACCTATTAACTTCAGCCAATGAGCAAGGCACACTAAGGCAATCCCACCCCGCTTGCTGATTAACCTATGTGCTCACTCGTGCAATAATCACTTCGCTTTCTGTCAACCAACGGGCATAAATCTCAGAGAGTATTTACAGTATATGTCAACTCACCCCTTGTCTCTCACTTGATGTTTTGCAGCAACAGTCTTCCAACAACCTTCCACCTCCCCACCACCACCAGCATAATAACCTGAAGGCCAGTCATCAGAACCCGGTTCTCCAAGCGGGTGGGGTTTCGATGCCTGCTGCCCAGCATAGGGCAACCTGTCATCAGCATCTGGCTCTGAGGAGCATTCCTCTGAGACGAGGCCTACCCCCAAACTATTTAATAAAATGCCATATTGTATTCCGTCTCTGTTGTCATTCAGTTAAGCCTGTACTCGATTGAACTCTCTGGTCTTCTATAAGAATTTATCTTTGAGGCCTGCGGCAAGACCTCTCCACAAGAATCCTGATTCAACCCAACCACACAGCTACTCACCTATTCAGACGGGTCTACAGTCACCATTTTGTAGCAAACAGTAGTGTGTCTATTTCTGCATCTTGGACCTAGTCCTAGTTACTAGTTTATCAGGAACAGAGCTTCATCTCTACATATTTAACCCCTTCCCCTACTGCAGGGGTTTCCCAAACTCGGTACAGGCTGTGTAGTGCTAGGGCAAAAACCAGAGCGTGCACCCAGGGGGGGGGCCCAGGACCAAGTTTGGGAAACCCTTCCCCTACAGTACCTTCTATCAGAGTCCCACTGAGTCATGATGACTACGCCACAAAACCTCCACCAATACCTCTTTTCCACCCTGACTGCGCCACAATTGGCACCCTATTCCCTATATAGTGCACTTATTTTGACCAGAGCCAAATGGACCCTGGTCAAAAGTAGCGCACTACATAGGGAATAGGGTGCAATTTTGGACGTAGTCCTGGTGTACTTCCCCCCCCCCATCTCCTTACAGTACCTTCTACCAGGGTCCCAGTGAGCCAGCGGTGGAGGTATCTGGCCACCCTGAGGAGTCTTCTCTTGCACCTTCTTCTGCGATGGCCCATCCTGACCGTGTTCTGGTTGTGGTCAAAAGGTTACGGTTCTGTGGTTACGGTTCTGTGGTTGAGGTCCTAAGGTTATTTTCCTAAGGTTCTTTTCCCAAGGTTCTTTTCCCAAGGTTCTTTTCCCAAGGTTCTTTTCTGAAGGTTATTTTCCCAAGGTTCTTTTCCCAAGGTTCTTTTCCCAAGGTTCTGGTCCTAAGGTTCTATGGTTGTGGTCGTTAGGTTTCCGTTCTGTGGTTATGGTTATAAGGTTGCGATTGTTGGTTATGATTCTGTAGTTGCAGGTTTAAGGTTATGGTCGTAAGGTTGCAGTTCTCTGTGGTTGTGGTCCTATGGTTAAGGTTCTATGTGGTTCTATGGGTTCTGTCGTTGAGGTTCTACAATCCCAGGTCTGTTGTAGTCCAGGGTTTGTAATCCTATTTTCAAGGAGTTCAGTTCCTCTTCCTCTACAGAGAGCTCTGTTAGGACTGGATCTCCATATGGGTCTGGGTCAAGATGAGCAGCGACGAAACATATTATCTTCCGATGTATCTCCCTCCCTCTCTCCTGCTCTCTCTCTCTCTCTATCTCTCTCTCTCTCGCGCTCCCTCTCTGACTCTCTCACTCCCTCTCTCTACCTCTCTCCTTCTCTCTCTCAGGTCCTGGAGAGCTTGTTCAAATCGGATCCACTTGTTGCGATCTGGTCTTAAAGAGGAAACTGTGTCCTCTCCCCAAGGCTTCCTCTCTCTGGATCTTTCTCTCTTCCTCTGTTCCTGTCTTCCGTGTCTCTCTTTCGTCTCTTTCTCTCTCTCTTTGTCAATCTCTTTCTCACTTTCTCGCTCTCTCTCTGGGTGAAGTTATCTCTAGGTACAGTTCTAGGATCAGATTCCCGTCCCCCAATCAAAACCTTAACCATTAGTTGGCTAAATGCAAAACTGACCCAAGATCAGTGTCTCTAGGGGCAACTTCACTCTACTCCGAACCACTCAGTGTTCCTCCATCTGTCACATCCAAAGTGAAGTTGCCCTTAGGTGCTAATCTTGGGTCAGTTTTGCATTTTCCCCACTAATGGTTAAGGTTAGGATTGGATGAGGGGAAGCTGATCCTAGATCTGTATCTGCAGGAGACCTCGGAGCGTCACACTCAAGAGGTCAAGGGTCAGAAAAGAAAAGAAGACAGTCTCATTGTTATGTTCTCTCTTTCTTCTCTTCTTTCTTCCTCCCAATGTTTCTCTTTCTCTCTTTCTCTCTCATTTTCCTTTTTTTCCTCTTCTACCTCTCTCCTCTCTCCTCTCCTTTCTCCTCTCCTCTCTCCTCTCTCCTCTCTCCTCTCCTCTCTCCTCTCTCCTCTCTCCTCTCTCCCCTCTCCCCTCTCCTCTCTCCTCTCTTCTCTTTCCTCTCTCCTCTCTCCTCTCTTCTCTCTCCTCTGGCGAATTAGTGTTGATGATCTTCGCCATGGAAACCTCACAATCCACACCGACCGGTTTAAAGGCCAACCAACACAAAGTGCATTGTCCTCGTCACTGCATCCATCACTACATGGGATCACTTTCACCTCATCATATCTGAACCATTAGAGGGGGAACGGTAAAACAGGCCTTAGATCAGTGTGTAGTGGTGAATTGATTATGTTCCACATCAAGCTCCTACAACAACACAGAGGGGAACAACATACTTTATTAATGCCAATAAGGTTGTTCTACCTCAGGCATATTGTATAATCTGGGTCTGTATGTATCAAGCTGTATCAGTGCTTGTCTATGATCAGTTAAGCCTTTGTTAGATCATAATCAACAAGACTATATGGACAGGAAGGACCTGGGCATGTTGCCACAAAGCCTCTGAGAGTAGGAGTACTGATCTATAATCAGTTTTGTCTTTTAGATCATCATTAATATGAGTATATGGACGGGGGGGGACCTGATCCTAGATCAGCACTCCTACTCTGAGAAGCTTGATACATATTGATCTCTGATAGACAGTGTTGCCATCTGCTGAGCCATGCAGGTCTCCAGACTCAAGGTGATGTTATGTGTCATTTCTTCCACAAGGTGGGAGCGTTGAGCTACATTGTGGCAATGTTGAACCAGAAAACCTCAGCTCCAAAAGAGAACACCTGGGTTTGTCCCACTCCCAAATGGCACCCTATTCCCTATACAGTGCACTACTTTTGACCAGGGCCCTATGGACCTGGTCAATGGTAGTGCACTAAATAGGGAATAGGGTGCCGTTTGGGACACATCCTGTACATTAATAACTAGAACAGGTTTATGATGAGACGCGTGTTTCATTATGATGTCACTAAGCAGTACGGTTAAATAACTGTAATTGCGCACACATGCACACACACACACACACACACACACACACACACACACACACACACACACACACACACACACAGTGTACTGTATACCTACAGTCCCCTTGAAGTCAATGATCATAATTTAGACCCTGAGTTTTCCGGGTCACATGGTCAGGGGCCTAATCAAGAACAGGGGACTATTGAAGTCAGTCCTACAGGAACAGATGAGGGACAATCAGGACAGCAGCTAAAATAAAAATCATGACCTAAGAGTGAGTTTGAACTGTTTGGTCAAGCTTGCCAGGGTTGTGTTCATCAGGGCACGCAACAACAAAAACTTTTTGGAACGTAAAAATGAAAAATGAGCGTTTCTCATTGGACAAGTCTAGGTATATCCCTCCCTGTTTCAGTGTGTTTTCGTCCGTCTGGTGCCTAATGAACACAACCCTCCCAGTTGTATAACGATCAATGTTGTGTAACAAATAATGAAAGTGAGGCTTGTGTAATTGATGCAGCCGATGGACACACACACAGACACAAACACACAGACACAAACACACACACACAGACACAAACACACACACACACACACACAGAGCCAATACCATCTGCCCTGAATGGAGGGATTGAACTGTGGCCAAACGAGACAGGAGATGAACAAGAGGAGAGATAGAACACACACAGAGACAGGATGAGAGGAGTGATAGCCTCCCTAATCTAACATGGTTTAAACATGGGGAGTTCAGAGAGGCTAAACTCTCTCCCTCTCTTTCCTTCTCTCCTCTCTCTCTCTCTCTCTCTCTGGCTCCCTCTCTTTCCTTCTCTCCCTCTCTCTCTCTCTCTCTCTCTGGCTCCCTCTCTTTCCTTCTCTCTCTCTCTCTCTCTGGCTCCCTCTCTTTCCTTCTCTCCCTCTCTCTCTCTGTCCCTCTCTTTGTTGTCCTTCTCCTCGCCTCTGGCTCCGCTCTCGTTCCTTCTCGCCTTCATGGGCATCCCTCTTTCCGTCTCATCCCTCTGGCCCTGGACTCGGCCCATCTCTTTCCTTCTCTCCCTCTCTCTCCCTCTCTTCTCTCTGGCTCCCTCTCTTTCTCTTCTCTTCCCTCTCTCCTTCTGGCTCCCTCTCTTTTCCTTCTCTCCCTCCTCTCGCTGGCTCCCTCTTCTTTCCGTTCTCTCCCTCTCTCTCGCTTGGCTCCGCATCTCTTTTCGTTCTCATTCCCGTCTCCCGTCTCTGGCTCCCTCTTCTTTTTCATGGTTTTAAACAGGGGATTATCGAGAGTGGAGTTAAAGATCCAAGAGGCTAAACAGCATTTCTTTATACATTTAACGTCCTGTTAGCAAGACGCTCCTGATATCCTGAGCGAATTAACAGTTAGGTGAGTGCATAACATTTTTTTTCATACTGGTCCACCCGTGGGAATCGACCCAACAACCCGGACCGTTGGCAAGCGCAATGCTCTTCCAACTGAGCTACACGGGACTATTACTACGATTCTATTTCTATACATGTGTGTTTGTTTGGGTGTTGGGGTTGTGTGGTGTCGGTGGTGTTGTTGTGTGTGTGTGTGTGGTGTGTGGGTGTGTGTGTGTGTGTGTTGTGTGTGTGTGTGTGTGTGTGTGGTGTGTGTGTCGATGTTGTTGGTGTGTTTGGGGGTTGGTGTGTGTGTGTGTCCAATGATGTTGCGTGTGTGTGTGTTCATACGTGTGTGTGTGTGTTCATACGTGTGTGTGTATGTTCATACGTGTGTGTGTGTACCTCTGTTTGTTTTTCCATAACAGGCCAGCTGCTGTGCTGTAGTGTGATTGACAGCTCCTAAGTGGCCTGTGGTCCCAACGTTCTGAACTGTACACTGACACACACACACACACACACACACACTTACCTTACACACACACACACACACACACACTTACCTTACACACACACACACACACACACACAACACACACACACACTTACCTTACACACGGAAATCTAGTTAGCATTTTAAGCTAGAGATGTCTGTTTTTTTTTGCATTGGATGCGTCTCAATCCACCTCATCCACCTGTGTAACATTTCCACATCTGCGGTGAAAGGTGACAGAGCTAGAACGATGCTTGTCTGACCATGAGACATCCCGAAAATCGGTCTTCTCACAAAATCGTCTGTAGTGTCCAAACGGTTTGGCCTACAAACCACTCTATGGAAAGATGAGACACCATTTTTTTTCTCCATTTTGCTCTACGACCCCCACAAGCGTCTTTGGACTTGTCTGAAGTCGGTACAGCCGACTCCTGTCTGTAGTTCCAAACGGTTTGGGCTGACACGCTAATATGACCCCTCTGTGGAAAGGTGAGACTCTCACCAACACCTCGGTTGTTTTGCTCTAGCATATCCCAAACCTTAACCCTTACCTCAACCATTCGAAGTTAATGCCTAACCTTAAGAATTCGGAGGTAATGCCAAAACGTAACCTTAAACACCTCGACGTTTGAATAACATGGATGAACGTCTAATTCTAAGCCTATCGCAAACCTTAACCCTTACCTTAACCATTCGGATTTAATGCCTAACCTTAACCATTCGGATTTAATGCCTAACCTTAACCATTCGGATTTAATGCCTAACCTTAAGAATTCTGAGAAACATGGATGAAGGTCTAATTCTGATGTGAGACTGTGAGAGCTTGTTGCCTTCATAACCCTTTAAGCTTTAATCGCTCCTCTCTTTCCCACGGTAAATGAAACAACTCTTAACACCACAGAAATCTTCCTCGCTGGTAATCAATGGGATTCCTGGAGGGGTCTTAGTCAGTGTGGTGTGTGTGTGTGTGTGTGTGTGTGTGTGTGTGTGTGTGTGTTTGGTTTTACTATCCAAGTGGGGACATTTCGCCAGTCCCCACAAGGAAAATGACAATTTTAGGCTTAGGGGTTAGGTTAGGGTTACAATTAAGATATGGGTAGGGTTAGGGTTAGGGTTAGGGTTAGGGTTAGGAGTTAGGGTTAGGGGTTAAGGGTTAGGGGTTAAGGGTTAGGGTTAGGTTTAGTGTTTGGGGTTAGGGACAATGGGACTTTGAAAGGAAATCAGTTGTTTGGTCCCCACAAGGATAATAAAACACACATGTTCTCATGATGATCTCTTTATATCACTTTTTAATTATTCATATTTGTTTTAATTATGCGCCTGAAGTTCTTGATAAGGGATGCAAGACACACACATGCAAGAAGTGGATGAAGGAACACACACACACACACACATTCATGTATGTAGCATGTTTAGGCCTTGGAGAAATAGAGGGAGGATATTCAGTCATGCAATCTTTCACTCATCTATTCAACCACCCATCTTTCACTCATGTATCCATTCATCCATCCATCTTTCACTCATCATATTCATCCATCATTTTCACTCATTATCAACATCCACCAATCCCTCCCTCCTTCCACCTATCATCATCCACCCATCCCTCCCTCCCTCCCTCATCCATCCATCCCTCATCCATCCATCCATCCATCCATCCATCTATCTATCTTAAATCCCAACCCATAGATGCATCATGAACTGGCCTTGGTGGCAGTCTGTTTCTGAAGAGTTTCATTCCAAAACGCTGAATATCCATGTTCAGAAATGTTGGTAAATTTGCTTTTGTTGTTTAAAGAACTTATGAAGGAGATTGGTGTGTTTTTTCACTATCTAATCATGGCATGGGTTTGTTGAATGACAGACAAGTAATTGTTTGAAATCGATCACTTGATGGTTTCATTTCAGAGATTGTTCCATTGCAAAATCCTATATATCTGCCTCACTCTCAGAGAAATAAGTAGTACTGCTAGGTTTTACACAGTCAAATGTAACAAATAACTATTTTTAATAAAGAACTATACAAATGAAACATTTGTGACATCAACATATATATATTTAATTACAAAAATAATTAAATACAGTAATATGAGATCTGTATGCAAAAGATTTACGTTTGACTTTTTAGTAATTTAGCAGATGCTCTTTCCAGAGCGACTTACAGTTAGTGCATTCATCTTATTAAGATAGCTAGGAGAGACAACTACATATCACAGTCAAACATACAGGATACAAACATTCCTTTCCAGCTAAACAAATATAGCATTTAGCAAAACAAAAAAAACATTTTCAAACACATCGACATAAAATCGATTAA